CTATGATGCAGATCATCCAAATTTTACTATGTTTTACAACCTCCTATAGATCGGCGGGAAATGTCCTGTGACTGTTAGTATTAGTATTAGTATTAGTATATTTTACAATTTTTTCCGGAATAATTCCGTATCTTTTATAACAATCATTTCATAGCAATAAAAATTATAATTCATACGGAATTTCCGTATGCAAATTTTTTATAGAGCTAGATTGTCTCTTCTTCGCCTATATCTTCTCTTTTTTCTGAAATTTTCCCATATAAAAGTTTATAATTCACTTCTTGAATAAAATATAATACTTCTTGCCTGTGCACTACTTCTACCAGCTCTTCCACTTTCTTGAATATATTGACCAAGGCTTAAGGGAAAGTTAAAGTTTATTATAAGGATTACATCTGGTATGTTAATTCCCATACCGAATGCATTTGTTGCTATAATTATTTTTGTCACTTTATTTTTCCATTTAGATAATGATTGATTTTTTTCTTCTCCTGCTAAACCTCCATGAAATAGACCCACTTCATAATTAATTTTATTAGCAACATATGTTTTGAGTTCTTCACATATTCTAGGTGATTCACAATATATTATACTTCTTTCATTGATATTTTTATTAATTTGTTCTAGTGTTCCACGTCGCAACCCAAAAAAGGAAACAAAATGGTTGTAAAGGCGGTTGAAATCACACGAGTTGCTAGAGCAGTAGATTTGCAAATTGATTTTTTTCCCCATTTACTTTACAAATTGTGCAAAACATTCTCTTCATTGCTGCATCATATTTTAACCATTTATATATATATGTGAACCATTCGTGCTGAAACTTCTTCCTGATTTTTAAAATGCACTTGTTTATTTGACATTTTAATATGGTTTACATCTAATTCACAATTTTTTCTTTTTTTATTTGATTTTTTTGAAGTATCATCATCTGAACCTTGAATTGTCAAATCACCTGACCTTCTATAACTGATTCATCATCTATAAATGCTTCATCCCAAATTTCAGTAGTCAAATTATCTATACTATTTATTTTTTTTGAATAAGGGAAAACAAATATACATAAATTCATATTTAAAGTGTATATATTTTAAATTTAATAATTTAATAGCAGTGAAATAATAATAAGATTTAAATTGAGTCAATACTTTCTTCCTGAAAATTCAAAAGATACAAATGAAGTAATACACATATACTGTATGTATATATATTTATATAGTATAAAATTTTTTTTATGCGAATGGAAAAATCTGTACAAAAATAAAAAGGAAAAAATATCCGACAACTCTTTTTTTTTCAGAAGTTAAAGTTTTTTAAAGGAAAACCCGGATTTTTAAAGTAATATTTCCAGCCCTGGTTGGATTCTTTCTGCTGAATGAAAATTCAATCGTATTTATAAATTTTTTGAACAATATACAGCCATCTGTCTCAGGCCATTTTTAATATATCGATTAGAAATAACAATTATATACCACCTTTTGTTTTCTACATTATGTATAGAGATAATGAAATAGTTTTCAAGGATTTATAAACAAAGAATTGTCTATGTTCTCGCTTCTACATAATAATCCCCTCAGTTATATATGGGCTAGAATTTAGTCAAAGGAAGATTCTATTTAGTTGTTTTAAAAGAAACTTGGTTATATACAAAGAAGAGATTAATGAATCACAATTATTCAACCATATTTCTGAACATGCCAGATGCCATCATAACATGATTGGGATTTTTTAGGTTCTAATAATGTTAATTTACTAAAACCTATTGGACAGTTGGAAAAAGAAATGACGTGATTAAGATACCGCTAAAGACACGTTACAATTGTACCGAGCTTTCGCCATTTACAACGTTAATATATCGCCCAGATGATGATATATTAATTGACTATTTAAACGAAGATGATCAAAAAATTCGAACTAAAATGGTATGCTCTTATCATTTCAATGGTCTTGGTTGCCTGCGCGAAAAGCACGGGAGCATTAGCATTACTCAAGAGACGTTATTTAGAACTCGGGGAGAAAAAATAATGGTGATACTATGATCGTAATATACCCTTGATACATCATATCAACATGGTATAATTGCTAAATAATTGAATTACCAGTTCGTAAATGACATTGAATTGAATTTGTGCTATTTTAGAATAACAGAAAATAGAAAGGAACAGATGTAAAAATCTTCTGGTTAGCATCACAAAATTATTCTTCTTTTTTTGACACTCACTCGATTTCATATCGTATTTTGCCGGGAACAAGCAACCTTTTATAAATTAATAAACAAACTAAAAATGTTAAGATTATTGTTACCATTTATACAAATATGAGATGCAGCAATTTTGACTAGAGAATTTTTAATTTGAATTTCTAAAAAATGGATACTGTTGATGATTAATAAATAAATAATGCAACTTATTAGATGAACCATTTTGACACATTAAAATATTAGAATCAGATTTCACAGAAGAAAATGTCATTTTATTAAATGAATTAGATAACTGTACCAGTTGTAAAGATTTATTGAAAAAAATTATTTTGATTTTCTTAATAAATCAATAAATGAACTAAAAAATTTTAAATTAGAAAAAGAAAAAGAAAAAAAAATTTGGTTAAATGCAGATAAAACCTGTGAATTAAGTGAAGTATTTATTAGTATTGATGAAAAAAAAAATTTTATTATGTGATGGTTATAAAGAAAGCAAGATTTTTTAATGAATGTAAACAAGATGCACAATATCATAAAAATATATATTGGATTCCATATAATGAATTTAATAGTATTGAGTATTTGGTTTTGGAGAAGTTCATAAAGCAACATGGATTAACAATTTTTATGGAACAAGAGATGTTGTATTAAACAGATTATATAATTTTAATAATAAAATTTCAGATATTTTAAAAGAGGTAAATTTGTAATATATGTTGATCAACAAAATGTTTCCAAAGTTGTAAAGTATTATGTTAAAAATAACCCAGTAAAATTGCTTTTGCTTACAAAAAAAAACTTATATATACATTCCAAGGACTTTTTTTTTATATATCTCAATCTCTCCTTTGTTTCATCAGTTGTTCCCAAGGAGCCAAGTTTTTCTTTTGCTGTACAAATATAGTTCCCACACACTTAAACTTGAGCACCCCTTATATTAATAATGTGATCATGATCAGGGTAAATAAATTATTATAATCTTTTTATGGTTACATAATATCAAATTGTCATGTAAATAATTATGGAAGTTTTATAATATCAATATTTATTGATTAAGTTTCTTTGCAATAATAAACCCAGTGATCAATGAAACAAAACTCTGTGTTACCGGAATTAGATTTTGACGCAGATCTTTTGGTCGAATCTCTTAATTCCGGGACAATTTAAATTTTATTTCTATTTTTATTATTATTTAATCTATTATTTTTTATTATTTTTTATTTTTGTTAATTCTATTTATTTATAACGTGTATAACTATTTATTATCATCCGAATTCGTGTTACGTTTCGCATATTTAATTATTATCAATCAATCCGTAGCACATTCATATTTAACTTTATTTAGTAGAGATTAATGACGATTCTCCCGGAACGCTCAAAACGTGCGGATTCGCCCAAGTACAAAGTAAGCGAATTCGCGCAATCTGAGCGAAAACGCACAATTTGAGCGGAATCGCCCAAACCAAGCGGACTCGCGTAATTCGGGCTAATATGTAAATGAACATGTATATAAAGAACTTGATTTCGACCTAATGTAAAAGCAACTTTCTTACAAGTTAATTAGTTTTGACTAAGGAAAACTTTGTTACAAGTTAATTAGTTTCAACTAAGGAAAACTTTCTTACAAGTTAATTAGTTTCGACCAAGGAAAACTTTGTTACAAGTTAATTAGTTTCGACTAAGGAAAACTTTGTTACAAGTTAATTAGTTTCGACTAAGGAAAACTTTGTTACAAACTAATTAGTTTCGACTAAGGAAAACTTTCTTACAAGTTAATTAGTTTTGACTAAGGAAACTTTCTTACAAGTTAATTAGTTTTGACTAAGGAAAACTTTGTTACAAGTTAATTAGTTTCGACTAAGGAAAACTTTCTTGCAAGTTAATTAGTTTCGACTAAGAAAACTAAATAAATAAAATAAATATTTTATTTAAACTATTATCTTCTTTAAACAAAATTATTCACTAATAACAAAATCAATTCGTTGATCCCCATTCATTCTGATCCACGCAAAAATAAAAATAATTGTTATCACCAATTAAAAACACGCTCTCCCAAATTAATCGGTGATATCTGTGATAGAATCATTATTAAATAAAATTAATCATTAAAAACTTTTAAAAATAAAAATAAAAATAAAACATTGTTTTTATTTTCTTTGTTTAAGGCACTTTGATAAAAACAACAAGTGTAGTTAGTGCCTTGGTAAAAGGTAACAATTGTGGGAGCTTTGGTAAAAAGCCACACTTATTTGCTTTAGTTAGAAAGCAAGCAAGGTTAGGACTAATGTTGTTGGTTAACTAATGGGTGTCAATGAAGTATTATCCAATGGTTGGTTAATCAGTAATACTGGTAGTATTATTTTAATTGTAAATGTAAGGCCGTTAAACAAGTTACTTGAGTTGTTTTGTAAATAAACCAAAGGGAGTTTGCAATTGGACAAGAATATAAAAAGGATAAACAATTAAAATAAATTGGTCACAAATGAATAAAAGGAACTTTTGAGCTTTGTAAAGAGCTATTGTTATTTGTTTACTTACAGTTATCAAGTGTGCTTACAGATTCACATACAAGAAAGTGGTGAACTTATTAATGACAAGCATTAAATCATTGTGAGTTGCTTGCAATTAACTAACAAGAATAACCCAAAAGTTAAGCAATAATTAAAAGGCTACCTTGCAATATCCCCATTCAACAAGAATCAGAAAACTGTAAAAGTTTATTATAAAAAATATTGAAATAAAAATAAAAAGATAAATAATTATTACAAATAAATTTATAGTAGAGATTAAATTCAATTCTTTCTTTTAATTACTATAATCTAATGTTTATTAAAATCAAATTGTTAATAATAATTAATGGATAATAATTTCCAATTAATAATAATGAAATTTTTATTCACCTTTGTTAACAAGCAAGTCAAAATCTAATGAACTGTCATTAATTGTATAACTTTTAAAGCATTTTGATCTAGCAATCTCTTCATTTAATATTCTACTTGTATGGTATGCATCTGGGTGTGATTTGTGTATTTGTTGCAAATCATCACCAGCACCAGCATCAGCACCACTGCTGCTACAATCATTATCACGAATCTCCTTATGTTTATCTTCGGCAAAGTCCCGAAGTTCTCTACTAGTTGGTCTTTTTGATGGATCCACATCCCAACACCTCTGCATCATTTGTGCATAATCTTCAGGCATTCCTGGTAATATTGGTGGTCGTAAACCTTCTTCACATATATCAAAAATTAAACAATGATCATGAGCTCTATCATCAAATGGTGGATGACCTGCAAATATTTCCCACATTAACATTCCAACACTATAGATATCAGATGCTTTGGTGTTCCTTTTTCCTCTAAGTAGCTCAGGTGCAACATATGATACAATTCCATAGATTTTATCTGATGATTTTTCATCAACTGATCCACATAATCCTAAATCTGTAATATAACAATTACCTCCTTCCACAAGTATATTGCCACTATGTAAATCACAATGGATTAAATCTTTTTGATGTATATCATCTAATGCATCACATAAATAATCAAAGATTATAATTTTGTCTTTTAATGTTAAATTAAAATGATTTTTTTTCAAGTAACCCCTTAAATTTCCTTCTGGAGCATAATCTAAAACTATTGCATAATTTCCATTATCTGGGAATTTAGTTATGCCATAACAAGGATTAATTAAATTTGATTTAATTTTACAATAATTCATTGCCTGAAAATAAATATAAAATCAATTAGCATTGTATAATACAATGTTATTGTTAACTTTGTTTTAAATGACAACTGCCAACCTCATCAAAAAAGCTTTTTCCTGGATTACTTGAATCATTCAAACTTTTTAATACTACATCTTTCTGTTTACGATAACTAAATTCCTTTTTATTTTCATTATAATCAATTATATATCCCCTTGTCCATTCAGCAGTATAAATTGAACTAAATCCACCCTCTGTCAACTTGGTTACTTTTTCAAATTGTTCAAAAGGTATCCATTCTATAATTTTAGTTGGCAGAGATGATTTCATTTGACATTGTTGAATGAATTCATCAACTATGTTGTTTCCAGATGTCCAAGTAGTGAAAAGACTCTGTAATTGTAAACTAATGCAACCCTTACAGAATCTATCAGAGTATCTTGTTGATTTACACTTATTACATTCTTTTGATTTACCATGTTTATACATTACATTAATTAATTCAACATCATAAATAAACTCTTCTTTACAATATTCTTTTTCATTCTCAGAAAGCTCCTCATTTTTTTTGACTAATGAAAAATAATAATCTTTTCTACTTTCTTCATCAGAACTCATTAGAGCATTATTATACATTTCATTACGAACTTTAATTACAAATCTCCTTCTTTCTGGTGATAATAATTTGTAATGAGACATTATATAAAAATAAGTGTATTTATAAAATTTAAAAATTTGACTTGGCTCAATCTATTGTGTTTTATTGAATAGAGTGGAAAAAACCTTTTTTTTTTTTTGTATTGAGAATGACAGTAGTCCATTTATTTATTCATTCATTTATTTATAATTCTTTATATTATTTCCTTTTGCAATCTATGTGAATTTGCAATTCACACGTGTGAAATTCAAATTAGCCAATCAGAATTTCATATCCAAACACTCCAACCCAAAATTTAATTATTATTATTATTATTATTATTATTAGATGATCTGCACCGTATCTTTTTTAAAAAACGCGTAAATTCTTTGAGAGTTATTGAAATTTCCTTAGGGTGTCCAGGATTATGCTTTTTTTTCTTCCAAATTATGCACTGGTGCTTTTTTTTTCTAGAATTATGCTTTATGCTTTATGCTTTTTTTATAATTTTTGGGCAAATTTATAATTATTCATCAGAAAAATTAAAATATATGAAATTTAATTTTTTAATCGAATCATCTTTTAAAGCTGTGCATTTATCAGTTAATATACTTTTATAAATTGAAAAAGATCTTTCAGCATCAACATCGGACACAGGAAGTTTCATCAACAGTTATACTAATCATTTTATTTTTATTAAAATTTTTAATTTCTGTACTTCAAATTCATAATTCATTGGTATATTTTTTTCAAGTGATTTGAACCTACAATATGACCTCCTAGGAAATAATAAAAATAAAAATAAATGATAATTTACATTAAAATATTCAAATTAATTTTTTTTAATTTTTTTGATATGAAAATTTTTTTACCATTCTTACAATATGAATTAAAAAAAGACTTTAATTTATCTATTTTATCCAGAGAAATATCAGCTTTAGTAAATGCTTCAATAATTGCAATATTGATTTTGTCACAATCATTATTAGTGAAAGAAAGCAAAGAGCTTTGTAAAGGTTGTGGATTATTTTTATGTTTTTGTTCAGCAAGCTTTACATTTCGTTGATTCTATATGGTTATCAACAATTGATTTTTTTTCATGATTTATAGCATGGTTACAAAAACAACAATATAATTTCCCAGTTTCAATGTAAAGATGATTATTATAATGACTTTTGTTCCTCGAACATTCTAATGCAGAAACCACTCACCATTTTTCATTCTACAATTCTATAATTGTGGTATTGAATATCATCGTCAATCACTTACATAAAAATAAATTATACACGTAGACTATCCTGGACACCCTAAATTTCCTGCTCAAAGTTGATCATTTCTGTTACCTAATAAGTATCGTACAACAATAACAAGTAAACAACTTTTGACACACACCCCTAGTGTCCCACTGCATGAGAATAGTGTGCGACATTGATAAAATTAATTGGTTGGTATTGGTATTGAATTTCCTGCGGATTAGCCATTTTTTTTCCTATTTATTATTATTCCATATTATTATAAATATACAAACAAAATTTATTATTAATATTAATAATGATCTATTTTTCAAGATCAAATACGATTAAATTAACAAATAAATAAATACATAAATTTTTATTTTATTGAAAAAAAGACGTAATTTATTCCAAGAATCAAATCAATAATTTTATTGATATGACTGATTCTTTCAACAGTAACGATAGCACAACAGAACTTCTTTCACAACCACTTGAAGAATTAAATAGTCTGCTTGACAATAAGGATGAATGGCAATTTAATAATGAGTGCGTGACATCACACATTGGCACTCTTAGGAATTTATTGGAACAACTTTCTTCCATGGAAAAATCCATACAATTACAATTTATTGATAAATTAATAGATTTTGCAGAAGAAAATGATATTAACAAATGGATATTGTTTAAAGCTAACATCACTCGCAAATTGCTAACTACTGTAATTTGGAAGATAAGTCAAAGAAATGAAGTTGTTGAAAGTACAATGAAACTATTAGAAATCATTTGTTCATTTTCTGTCAAAGTTTCAGATATTAAGTTAATATTAAATATGATTTGTAATAAGAATATTGAAATTGAAGACAATAACAACAATAACAATAGTCAACGAGAGAATTCTAGTAGTATATGGTATCAAGGTTCTCTATTAAAATTTTTGAGTTCAATTGCTCAAAAACAGAATACTTCCAATTACACTACTTTAGATTTCTTTTACTTTAAAGGAGGAATTGATTCTGGCATTAAATTATCAAGAATTGAAAATTTTCCTACAAATGGTTATTCCTTTTTCACTTGGATAAAATTGGATTCTCTTTTATCATTAAATTCAAAAGCCTTTAATAACGAAAATAACAGAAATAATGATTATTCTCCACGATTATTTTCATTCTTCAAAGAAAATGGTGATGGGATTGAAGCATATTTTGATAAAAACAAATTATCAATCCAATCTAAAAAAGGCACTAAGGTTACAACAATTACTGTGAAAAATTTTATTTTTGCACAGAACAGACTGTACTTTATTACTATTGTGCATCAACCCTCAAAAAAAGGATGGACTACAACACCTGCTGAACTATCAATAGTTATAAATGGAGATAGTTATTTCGAATATAATTTAGAATATCCAACAAATTATTATTATTCTTCTACTACTGCTACTCACTTATTTAATTATTGTACTATAGGTGCCTCTTTGGACATTAACTCTTTACAAAATGGCAAACATTCTAATAAATCTAGATCATTTAATACCAACAACAACAACAATAGTAATCTTTATAATAGTTTTAGGGGTCAAATGACTACAGTTTATATGATATCAGATATCCTAAACAAAGAACAAATAAAGATGCTATATGAACTTGGTCCAAATAATGCTTATCAATCCGAACATAAGGAATTAACTACAAATTCATCAACAACAACAAAAACAACAATAACGCCTGCTGAAAAATTATTTAGTGAAATTTTTTACAATCAAAAAGTCCTATTTAGTTTTAATGTTAAAGCTTCTTCATCAAAAGATCAAAGTTGTTATAATTTAGCATCTACAAATTTAACGAAAAAATATTCTCTAGAGGCTAAACTATTTGGAGTTGAAAAATGTTCTACGCTAAGTATACAGAATGCAATACAATGTTTAGGTGATATAGAGATTTTATTTCCTATTATCATGCGGTTTGACAATTTAAATTCCATTGCTTTTCAAGCAATAAGTGAATTACAAGATGATTTTTTCTCCTTTGAAGGTCCATGTAGAATTTTTTTTGTACTTTTGACATCACTATTACATAACAATTCAAAAAGTCAAAATCATATCATAAAAAATCAAGGTATCAAAGTTCTTAGTCTATTACTTCAACAAATTGGTCCAAGACACTTCTCTATATCAGCTTTTAAAAGTATGCTTACATTGGCAAGTACATTAGAATCATCCAATGAAACTCTTGTAAATGAAGTTTATAAGCATTTAATATTTGAATTTAGATTGTGGATGTATGCAACTGTTGATATACAAAAGTATTGTATTGAATTTTTGAAAAATTTTGTTGATGCCAGAAAACAAATGTGTCGAGATCTATTTGGTATTCAATTTTTTTTGGATGTCCTTCAAAATGTTTATTGGTATAGGCAAACTAATACCTCTGTACCACACAGACATCTTACATCAGGTGCTAATAGACCAAAAACATCTCAAATTAAAGAACTTCGTGGAATGATTATTAGTATTATTCTCAGTTATTTCAAAGATGGGATTAAAAAGGATGAAGTTTTGGTTATTTTTAGAAATTTATTGATTAATGATGATGATGTACACATTGTTGAAATTTTAAATATGATTTTGACTTTATTGCAAAAAAACAAATCAAATAAAGATATGATTGATATTATTTCATCTTATGGTGGATTTGAATTTCTGTGTGAAATGTTGAAACGAAGAGATGAAAATGTTCGTTTGAATTCTATCAAAATAATTACATATTTGATCTCTTGCCCTTTGACTCCAATTCAATTTGTAAAGAAGCTTAGATTTGAAGAGTCAGGTATTAACAATCTATTAAAGCTAATGGAAGGTGAATCATTAACCATTAATATTTATTATGCATTGCTGGATTGGGCATCTGAAAATTTTAATTTGGCTAAAGTGACATGTGAAAAGGAACTCGAATCATCCCCATCAACCACAGCCACCACCATGATGATGATCCAAGTTAAAAACTTTAGAATAATTTTTTTAATTTTGGCATTATTAAATTCTGAGGGCACAAAAAGAAATGACAAATGTAGAATTCTTAAAGACCTAATAGAAATATTTAAACTTAATATTTCATATTGTACAGAAATAAATAATAATTATTTATGGCTTTGGCAAAAATATCTCATCCGACTTATACCTGTATTTGGTGATCAAGAAGGTATTCTAGCACAAAAGGCAAATAAAGTTACTTCAGATTGGGCTTTAGAATTTTTAGCAATTATTATATGGAATATTTTGGAGGTCAATAATGATGGCTATCGAGTTGTTGAAGAAACTATAATCTATTTATGGACAAGTGATAGACAAGATTCTTTAGAAACAATTCGTTCTTTATTAATACAACTTTTGACATTAACTACTAAAGAGTGTAAAAATTCAATTGGTGCTTCTTTTTCCAATACAAAATTGGTATTTATTTATTTTTTGATTTTGTAATTTTTTTTTTTTTTGGTTTTATTAAATAATAATTATTTATGTATATATTTATATAGGAAAATGTGATGCGTTTAATATCATTAACTGAAGAAATAATTTTTAATAATAAAGATTTAATTCAGACATTAATTCAAAAACAAAATTCAACTATACAAAAAAGTAATAATTCTCCATCAGGAAGTTATTCTTCTTCATTTAAATCTATATATGGTAAGAAGCCTGTTTATTGATAATGTATATATTTATATATATAAAGCATTATCCTAAAACTTCTGGATTTTTATAAATTTATTAGTAATCAGTTTACCAATATCTAATAAAATTTTAAATTTGGTAATTCACTTATACAAAAATTAGAATCCACGTTTACTCCACAGAAATATGATGATATAATCTTTCAAAGTCCAAGTAATCCATGGGAAGATAATAAGACTTTAGCTCAATTGTATTTTGATGTTGTTAATGTTCTAGATACAGCTGGAAATTGGAGAATGGATTTACCAAGTAATAAAAATGGAATAATGGTAAAAAAATTTTAAAATTTTTTTATATAACTTGTGATTGTTATTATTATTAATAATTAAAATCAATTTATAAAGCAACCTGGGGATTTGTGTAGAATGGTAATGAGAATTTTAATTGCTGGTATTACAATCCCAGATCAAGAATTACGTGAAAAATGTATTGATCAACTAATGGAATTTCTTGAAAGACATGTAAAATTATCCCCCGATTCATTTTCTACTACTGATGATGACAATAGTAATTACACATCACCAACAGATAAAAAAATTTTGGGAGGATTTTATTGTCATGATAGTGATATTTTTCAACAACATATTCTTTTACTTTTGGGTGAAATTCATGATGCATTCAAGTTTGTATTTAACAATTTTTTTATAAAATAATAATAATCTAAACGATGATAATAATATAAATAATTTAATATATATTAATAGTGCATCAAAGATGATAAGTGGTGATTATGATTATAAAACAATGATATTATATTATTTTGCTATACACAAATGTCGTAAGTATCTAAATATTCTTAGTGGTGGTGATAATCCAATTTTTGATGAAGTTTTTGAATCCATATGGTCAGGATCAAAATTAAATATACATATCTTTATAAAATTTGTTGAATCACGTAATTGGATGGCAATATTTGATAAATATGTTGTTCATGCAATGAGAGATGCAGTTGAAGTTGAATTCTCAATAGTAAAACGTATGTTAGCACGTTTTTCAAAAAAATTAGATATGTTCCTACATTGTTCAAGAAAAGAAGAATCGGCAACACTTAAGCCGGGGGAGACTTTTGACAAAAATTTAAATTCAATCATCAAATCTTATCAAAGTGAAGAAATTTCTCGCCTAAATAGTCTTGAAGTTGAAAAGAAAAATGATTATATTAGGACTTCAAGAAGATGGTTATCCAAGTTTCATGAATTGACTCAAGAACGTGGTGTCTGGTCAATAGGAGGAAATAAGGCTGCTGATATTCATTGGAAACTTGACAAAAAAGAAAATTATTCAAGAATGAGGCGAAAGCTTACAACCAATTATGATTATGATCCACATCTTGAAGCAAGTGCAAAAAGAAACAAAATGCATAAATCAAATAAAAACAACAATAACGATTCATTAGCATCTCAAAATAAAATCAAAAATATTCAAAGATTAAAAAGGGCATCATCATCATCTAATGTCAATAAATTTGGATATAATTCACCGCCATTTTTGAATTCAATTGAACCATTAACAGATGGTAATTGGGCTTTTAATATAACGTCTTTAATCTCTGAATCTGATATCCCAGAAGAACCAAAGGATCAAGAATGGAATATTGTTGTGGGTGATGATGTTGTTGATACTTTTGATCTATCAGCTGATAAATTTATATTTAAAACAGATTGTGAACTAATAATACACTTATCTGCCATCAAAGGTCATTTAGAACTTACTACTACTCATTTATCATTAATATTGGATCATCAAGATTTGTTGGAACAACTCAACAATATTGAGCAGGGCTCTATAATTGTAGATAGTGAGGTATTACTAGACAAAAAATGGTCTATTTCGGATATACGAGAGATCCATATGCGAAAATATCTTTTGAAAAATAGTGCTCTTGAATTGTTCCTTACAGATCAAACCAATTATTTTTTTAATTTCCCAAATCCAAAAGATAGAAAAATCCTTCATTCAAAAATAATATCATTTCATCCACCCTCAATGATCAACCAAGATACTCGTGATCCCACCATGATGTTTTCCAGGTCAAATTTGATAGGACGTTGGCAAAGGCATGAAATTTCCAACTTTGAATATTTGATGCATCTAAATAGTTTTGCTGGAAGGTCTTACAATGATTTGTCACAGTATTTTGTATTTCCATGGATTCTATGTGATTATGAGTCAGATACATTAGATTTGTCTGACCCCAAAATTTATAGAGACTTGTCTAAACCAATAGGAGCTATTAACCCTATAAGACTGGAACAATTTGTTGAGCGGTATGAGTCTTTTTATGATCCTTCTGGACGTATAAAGCAATTTCATTATGGAACACATTATTCAAGTGCAGCAACAGTGGCTTGTTATTTAATTCGTTTAGAACCATTCACATCTATAAATATTTCATTACAAGGGGGGAAATTTGACCATGCTGATAGACAATTTCATTCTATTCAGGGAGCTTGGCAAGCTTGTTTAAATTCTAGTGGTGATGTTAGAGAATTGACTCCAGAATTCTTCTATCTTCCAGAATTTTTGGTAAATCATAATAAATTTGATCTTGGAGTTCGACAAGATGGTGTACCTGTAGATGATGTCAAATTGCCAAAATGGGCAAAATCCCCTGAAGATTTTATTCGTAAGCATCGAGAAGCATTAGAGTCTGACCATGTATCAGAAAATTTACATCATTGGATAGGTAAGCTAATTGATTATTTATTTTTTTTTAAATCATACTAAAGATAAGATTATTATTATCATCATATTGTTAATTGATCAATCAATTAATTAATAAAAATATAGATTTGATTTTTGGATATAAACAAACTGGAGAAGAAGCTGTTAAAGCATATAATGTATTTTATTATTTAACATATGAAGGTGCTATTAACATTGAAAGTATTCAAGATCCAATTGAAAGAAAAAGTATTGAACAACAGATTTATCATTTTGGTCAGACACCCACTCAACTTCTCAAAGAACCACATCCTAAACGATTTCCTAGTAAAAAATTTTTGAAAAAAAATTTGTTGAATTCCTTGGATAGTCAGGAATATTTCTCATTGAAATCTAATAAACTAGTTTTTGTTGATTTGCCATCACCTGACTTTATGAACTTTTCTGCCATTGATTTACAACAAATTATCACTGTTGATGAAAATGGATTAGTTGGTAAACATAATCTTTTGCCTAAACCAACAGCTCCAGAAATAAAAAGATTTGAAGTAGATCCTGGCTTACAGTATAAAAGGTTAGTAGTAAATATCCATATATAAACTTGGAAAGATAATTTTTTAAAAATTATTTTTTATTTTTGCAACCTTTAGTCAATTGAATAGTCCATTTTCTTTTGATGTAAAAATTACACCAAGAAGTTTCGCATGTAGTAAAGATGGGAAAGTTCTCATAAGTAGTGGACATTGGGATAATTCAATAAAAGTTATATTGACAGAAACAGGAAAGATTAATGACAGCATATCAGGACATGATGATATCCTTTATTGTTATTGTTGTTATACCACTATTATAATTAATATAATAATTAATAATTAATAATAATATATTATTAAAAAGTCTAAAGTATTATTTCTTAACTGCTTTGCACATACTGTGACAACTGTAGGAATTAGTGAGGATGGAAGAATTGTTGTTACAGGTTCAAGGTCTTCTGATTTGTTGTCTTGGAAGATCAATATGACAGATGATTTTGAATTTTTAAATATTGAACATATACCCATGCATTCATATTATGGTCATGATGATGAGGTAATAAATTTAATGTAATGGAATTTTAATGTTTAATTGTATTAATCAAATTTATTGATTTTGTTTTAGATTACCTGTATTGTTGTTAATGCAGAACATGACATATTAATAAGCGGATCAAAAGTTAATATTATTTTAATTGTATTTGTTTTATCTTCAACAGTTAAATTTAAATTTAAGCTTTGATTCTTTTTTTTTTAAAAAAAGGATGGAACATGTATCATTCATTCATTAAGGAATGCAAATTACATACGAACATTATGCCCATTTGAAGATGACGAATCATCTGTTGAATATTTATGCATAACCAAAGATGCTAACATAGTCATATATATGGAATATAAAGTGAGTGTTTGGTATATATGTGTTTCTTTGATTGTTTTATGATATTGCTATTTACTAAATTTAAATATTTTTTTAGAATGAATATTTTCTTCATACTTACAGTATTAATGGAAAGCTTTTAAATTCAATGCAACTATCTGTTAAAATAGAACATATGATTTCTTCAACTGAAAGTAATTCGATAGTTACAACAACTATTGGAAAAGATGAAAGAAGTTTTATTAGAATATATGATGTTTTAAGGTTGGCTTTTTTTTTTGAAAAATCTAATTATTTAATTAAATCTTTTTTATATTTAGTCGATTGATTGATTGATAAATATTTATCTATAGTCTAGAATTATATCATGAATTCACAGTTCCATTAATTGCAAATTGTCTTAAATTAAGTAATAACGATATGCAAATGTGGATAACGGGAAATAATGGCAAATTATTAATAGTTTCTGATAAAAATTATTCAATAAGTTAAAAAATTCTTGAAGTATAATTTGATAGATATTTGTATTATTATTATTATTATTATTTTATTTTTATTTATTTAATGTATTTTTATTTGATATTTTAAAATCAATTATTTAATTGGGCATTGGATATCCGGCGCAGCAATTTGATTATTTATCATGAATATAGGAAAATTTCCATCAATTTATAAAAGAATATTCTTTAATGTAAATAATCTAAATAATAAAAATAGAACAATTAAACCATTACAATTTGTAATGAAAAGTAACCTGTCTCAAGATGAATATCATCGACTATCAGAAGAAACCATGGAAAAATTATATGAAAATTTGGAAAGTCTAGGAGAAGAAACAGATATCGATGATTATGATGTTGAATATTCTGTAAGTTTAAAATTATTATTATTTTCAATGATTCAATTCCATTCAATTTCAATACAATTCTATTCTATTCTATTCAGAGTGGTGTATTAACGTTAAAGTGTGGTTCAATGGGTACATATGTTATAAATAAACAACCTCCTAATAAACAAATCTGGTTGTCATCACCGGTTAGGTTGGTTTAGATTTAAAATAAATATTAACCTTTTTCTATAAATTGTTTTCATATTCTAAATCAATATTTTTGTAAAATTTTTTAATTGAAAAATTCAGTGGGCCAAAACGTTACGATTATGATTTCAAATATGAAAAATGGTTTTATCATCATGAAAATTCAACCTTAGATGGATTATTAAGTGATGAATTATCACAGATCTTCAAGAGAAACGTGAAGTTATCTTTTTGAAAAGTAAATTTTATAAATTTATTGTATCTTTTATTTTATTATTGAATTATAAGTGGCAAAGTGTTTTATTTGATGATTAAAAATTTTACATTCAAATGATTGTATTTTCTGTTTCCATATTCCTAAGCCTAAGCCAATTGCTCAAAAATTATCACTTTGAAAAAGGGTTGAATTTTTACTATTAAGTGTTTTCCATATTACAAAAATTTTGGTAATAGATTATTTCTATAAAATATTTTCATTGATATCCATTTTTATTATTTATTTATTTATTTATTTATTTATTTATTTATTTATTTATTTCATTCATTCATTCATTTTATTGAAAAAATAATTTATATAGATTCGTAATGATGTTTTGCAAGATTACAATATGAAAATATAAATATATATTTTTTAAAAGTGCCAACATTGCTACATACTAACAAGTGACAAAATAAAATTTGAATTATTAGTATTTTCCATTTCCATTTAATATTAAAATCAAATAAAATCAAAGATTGAGTTAAAACTAACCTATTATTACACTTTACAGAACTGATAAATCAGAACTGTCCCATGTACACATACAGTTAAGTATATATACTGGGTTGACCATTGCCTCTAGGAAATCCCCACAAGGTCCATAAGTTAATAAGGTAAATTATGACCTAACAAATTGTGAAGGTTGTTCCCTCCATTTTTACACATAAATTTATAAATATCTCTTATATTTCTTGCAGTGTTCACATCCCCATTCCACAACATTCCATTGCCATTACTGCAAACTCTGATGAATATATTTTTTGAGGATTTTGGAAAGGATTTTTACACTTTGAACAAATCGTAAATATAAAAGTGAGTGAGACATATTGCATTAAAAACAGATATAAGAATCATTTAACATACCTGGCTTGTTTTAAATTCATTTACCAATCGAGTGGTGCATCTTCTTTTCAACTCTTGGTATAACTGTTTTTTTGGCCCTGAAGCATAACCAGGAAAAGAAGAGTCTTCAAGAGAAACGTGAAGTTATCTTTTTGAAAAGTAAATTTTATAAATTTATTGTATCTTTTATTTTATTATTGAATTATAAGTGGCAAAGTGTTTTATTTGATGATTAAAAATTTTACATTCAAATGATTGTATTTTCTGTTTCCATATTCCTAAGCCTAAGCCAATTGCTCAAAAATTATCACTTTGAAAAAGGGTTGAATTTTTACTATTAAGTGTTTTCCATATTACAAAAATTTTGGTAATAGATTATTTCTATAAAATATTTTCATTGATATCCATTTTTATTATTTATTTATTTATTTATTTATTTATTTATTTATTTATTTATTTCATTCATTCATTCATTTTATTGAAAAAATAATTTATATAGATTCGTAATGATGTTTTGCAAGATTACAATATGAAAATATAAATATATATTTTTTAAAAGTGCCAACATTGCTACATACTAACAAGTGACAAAATAAAATTTGAATTATTAGTATTTTCCATTTCCATTTAATATTAAAATCAAATAAAATCAAAGATTGAGTTAAAACTAACCTATTATTACACTTTACAGAACTGATAAATCAGAACTGTCCCATGTACACATACAGTTAAGTATATATACTGGGTTGACCATTGCCTCTAGGAAATCCCCACAAGGTCCATAAGTTAATAAGGTAAATTATGACCTAACAAATTGTGAAGGTTGTTCCCTCCATTTTTACACATAAATTTATAAATATCTCTTATATTTCTTGCAGTGTTCACATCCCCATTCCACAACATTCCATTGCCATTACTGCAAACTCTGATGAATATATTTTTTGAGGATTTTGGAAAGGATTTTTACACTTTGAACAAATCGTAAATATAAAAGTGAGTGAGACATATTGCATTAAAAACAGATATAAGAATCATTTAACATACCTGGCTTGTTTTAAATTCATTTACCAATCGAGTGGTGCATCTTCTTTTCAACTCTTGGTATAACTGTTTTTTTGGCCCTGAAGCATAACCAGGAAAAGAAGAGGAGAATCCACCATGATCCATAAGTCACAACTACATCAGAATAAAGACTAGTGCCGTAACCCAAAAAAGGAAAAAGTATGGTTGCAAAAGTGGTTGCAAAGGTAATTGCAACCACTTTTTATATGCTGTAAATACCATCATAATTTACAACACTAGTCTTTAAATGTAATATACTTTAATTCTAAGATTGTATCCTTATCTTGTTTATTTAATCTGATTCTCCCGAAAATGAAAGTGTCTGCAACACCAAAACGTCCCAATCCCTTCTCTTTTTTTCCATCAATCACAAGACACAACTCCAGTATTCAACATTCTGTTGGAAAAAGCAACTCAATAATTACCTGAAGAACAGGTTCATTTGCTGTTGAAAGTGACATTATTGACCTTGTTTGTAAAAAGTTCCTTACAAGCCTTATGAATTTATTTCTTTCTTTAGCATCATAGTTACTATTCTTATGACCCTGCAATGTGAAGTAAAGTCAATTTGAAATTAAATTCTTAAAACGGATTAAATAATAAAAAGGTTCTTTATTTAATGTATAATTTACCTATTTACATATGTATGATGATGGAGCAAAAGAAGATGTTAGGGTGGAAGATGAAAATTCATTATTTTCCTTGCCAAAACTAATTAACTGGGAGTTCGTTGGAAGTAGAGTTCTTTTTTTTATTTATTATTATTTATTTATAAAAGAAGTATTTTAATAATTGTCTTTTTTATAACTAGAGTGATGAGTGGTGATTGTAACCACCACCATTTACACTTGTTTTAGAAATATTTGTTTCTTGTTTTCTTTTTTTACTTTTGCTCTCATTATTTTTGGGTTTTTTTTTTTTTTTTTCTAAATATTCTTCAAGAGAAACGTGAAGTTATCTTTTTGAAAAGTAAATTTTATAAATTTATTGTATCTTTTATTTTATTATTGAATTATAAGTGGCAAAGTGTTTTATTTGATGATTAAAAATTTTACATTCAAATGATTGTATTTTCTGTTTCCATATTCCTAAGCCTAAGCCAATTGCTCAAAAATTATCACTTTGAAAAAGGGTTGAATTTTTACTATTAAGTGTTTTCCATATTACAAAAATTTTGGTAATAGATTATTTCTATAAAATATTTTCATTGATATCCATTTTTATTATTTATTTATTTATTTATTTATTTATTTATTTATTTATTTATTTCATTCATTCATTCATTTTATTGAAAAAATAATTTATATAGATTCGTAATGATGTTTTGCAAGATTACAATATGAAAATATAAATATATATTTTTTAAAAGTGCCAACATTGCTACATACTAACAAGTGACAAAATAAAATTTGAATTATTAGTATTTTCCATTTCCATTTAATATTAAAATCAAATAAAATCAAAGATTGAGTTAAAACTAACCTATTATTACACTTTACAGAACTGATAAATCAGAACTGTCCCATGTACACATACAGTTAAGTATATATACTGGGTTGACCATTGCCTCTAGGAAATCCCCACAAGGTCCATAAGTTAATAAGGTAAATTATGACCTAACAAATTGTGAAGGTTGTTCCCTCCATTTTTACACATAAATTTATAAATATCTCTTATATTTCTTGCAGTGTTCACATCCCCATTCCACAACATTCCATTGCCATTACTGCAAACTCTGATGAATATATTTTTTGAGGATTTTGGAAAGGATTTTTACACTTTGAACAAATCGTAAATATAAAAGTGAGTGAGACATATTGCATTAAAAACAGATATAAGAATCATTTAACATACCTGGCTTGTTTTAAATTCATTTACCAATCGAGTGGTGCATCTTCTTTTCAACTCTTGGTATAACTGTTTTTTTGGCCCTGAAGCATAACCAGGAAAAGAAGAGGAGAATCCACCATGATCCATAAGTCACAACTACATCAGAATAAAGACTAGTGCCGTAACCCAAAAAAGGAAAAAGTATGGTTGCAAAAGTGGTTGCAAAGGTAATTGCAACCACTTTTTATATGCCATAAATACAATTACTACCATCATCATAATTTATGGCACTAGTCTTTACATCAGAATAATGCCAGTCTTGTGGTTTACTAATGATCTGTTGACACATTTAGAAAATGCTTGTTGCTTGCCAACATAATTATCAAATTTTATTTTGCAAAAGAAAGTGCACCATAAAAAGATCAGAAGGTATGATAATGCATTAAAATAAATTGAATATGATTTAAGAAGTTAGACTTGGTGGACACATGTGATGTAGGTAGAGCATTTTGTAATTTTTGATATTTTGATTCTATAATGAATTAATTTGGTTAAAATCAATAATTTTGATCTAACAAATAGTAAAGGTGTTAAAGGCTTACTTGGTTAAGCTATCTTTTTATTTTCTTCATATTTTGCACAAATCTAGCCATATCTCTGTACTCCTTTGTCCCACAATGAGCAACTCTTTCTTTATTGTCAACAGCAACAAATAAATCTTTCCTCCCAAGATCAAGACCAATATACCTCTTTTCCAAAAATATTAGTTATTCCATGATTATCTCATCCTTTGTATTTTTCTTTCTATATTTGAAGATTGATATACTGATACCAACCAAGTCAGTCTCAACAAAAATCTGAATCTATTCCTATACTTGTTGATATCAAATATCTGACTCCAATAATAATTGGCATTATCCCCAAATTGTGTTTCATTTATTCCTCTTACAAGAGGATGACCAATTGATTTTAAGATTTTGTAAAAATGCATTTGTATCAAGTGGCATATATCTTGCACGAAAGCTAAATTGAGTGACAATATCAAAGATTGTCAACCCTTTAATATTATTATTCAAATATTTTCAAGATTTTGTGTAACAAAGGAAGGTAATTTTGCCAGCTTTTTGTTATAGTGCAAGACACCTACGGTGCAGATCATCTATAATCATTAATTGCTTATAGTAACAATTGGTCAACTTCAAAATACTAAAACAAAAAAA